TTCCTGAAATAGACAAGAATGAAATGTAAGACCACAATCTAGGAATAGGTAGATGACTGCAAATTGTGTCTGACCTCTCCATACTCTTAACTCTGACAGAATTTTTTCTGATAGTCACTGAAGACTTCCTTTCAGCAGTTTTTCCATTAGCCCAAAGGAAGAAAAAAATGTGGTCCAAAGTATGATTACTGATTTCCTCTAAATGCAATGGTAATTTCGGTAATAAAAAGGAAAAAGCCTGAGAATGCATTTTTGCTATTGCCTTGTAGTCATTAGGCTATGTTTTCTGCGAGTTTCAATTACTATTATTCATTCATTCATTCACTTATCTTTTTAATGAATGTTAATCATTCACTTAGTGCCCACTATATGCTTGGCATTGAGCTAAGTTCTGAACATGCAAAACTCTCTGAGAAATTGTTTCGGCCCTCACAAAACTTATGACTAAATGACGATTGATTAATTGATTAACTTACCTTTGATTTGTTTTTTGAAGTTCTTCAAGTGCCCGGAATTTATAGCAAAATCTCAAGGGAGTTAGAATAGGTATTAACAGTCCTATTTTAAAACCGAGGAAACTGAGGCTCACAAAGTTTAAGCAACCTATTTGGACTGCACAGAAAGCTGATAGCAAAAAGAGTTCAATGTTAATTCTTGATAAGCTTCACATTTTAATATAACTAGTTATTTATATATGAAATTTTATTATAAGAACATTAGCTGAAGTCTGTTTTTTAACATCTTTCAGTAATGATAATGTTCTGACCTAGATTTCTAAAATACAGGAAGTTCATCTTGCTTGATTCATGCATTGCAGATCTGAACTATTGATAAAATGGATGAAAAGAAATGGCAAGTGAATTTGTTAGTTGCTTTGTGGACTAAAATTTAGTGGTATCAGAATGACTGGAGTATGACAGTTAAGGTTTAATTCCTATCATTTGCCAGCTGTTGTGGACTTGGTAAACACGTATGGGCTATTAGGAAGTGTGTATTTCAAAGTATCAAGTCATATTTAAAGTATTACTTAAGAAAATGGGATCATATCTTCTGTGTTCTAAAGAGGCCAGAAACTTTAAAAAAAGAGAGACATTTTAATCTTTTTTATTTTAAACTTTCTTTTCACACAATTTTTATTTTTCATTGCAAAGTAGATTTTGTGGTGGTTGCTATCTTTCTTAACATAGTCCATTGCAAAGGAGTTTAATCTATCCAGGGCTAAAAAGTGAAAATACGGACATGGTCAGGAAATGACTTGTATTTGGGTGAAGAAAAACAAATACAAGCTTCCCAGGTGACTTTAGGGTGTCTGGAGCACTGGTTACCAAACCTGGCACAAACCTGGAACATACTAAAGTCACCTAGGGAGCGCGCAAAATAGGCTATTCCAAAACCGTAAGATCTCTGGGGGTGGGACCCAGGCACTGGTACTGTTTTGAAATATCCCTGGGTAATGCTAATGAGCAGCCAAGGTTGAGACTTGCTAGAAACTTTCACTTCTGTTGGAGAGCAAAGTCATCAAATTAAGCTAATTGCTACTAAAAAGTGAATGGCTTGTATTATTCACATTTTCCAAATCAGTGTCTAATGGAGATTCTGGCTAGTGAGACAAAGTATAATGAAGACTGTCTCATCTAGTTTGCACAACTGCATAGTGCCTAGTACATAAACACCAAATATTACTGGCATTATTCTATTATTGTTATTTAATTCTTTGACAAAGGAAGGGAAAAGAAGAAAATAAATATTGTTTTCAAGATTAAAGATTTTCTATCTTTAATTTGCATTTCTTCCAGTTGAATGTTTTGAAATATAATAATTTGAGTATCTGAAATGTAAAAGCAAGAGATATAATGTAGCATATTTTATTTCCAAGGAATCCTATGAAATTTCACCTACTTTGGTACATATCTTATCAAAGTCAATTTATCTACCTCTAGCATTTTGTAGAAGAGGCTAGGGGATATGTGCACAGTAGTAAAAAAGCAGAAAAATGTATTTTTCTTTTGGCAAGTCACAGGCATTCCTTGGGATTGAGGTGGGAAGGGGTGGGGTAGGATGTCAACAAACTAGTAAAATGTAGTTATAAACTCTTATTCTTTTTTAAATATGATTTGTAGTTCTTATTTGAATGTTAATGTATTTTAAGTATTTATCTCTGAACTAATTTAGGGCAAGAGACAAAACCTTGGTAACAGCATATGCAGCATGTCATGATCTTCCCAGTTGCTTCATGGAAAGGTTCATATACTGACCTACTCCTCTTACTTTCTCCAGAGCACAAAACTACCATAGATAATTTCTTCTTCTAGTATGTCTTTGTAATATTATTTCAGTAACTTTATGTTATTACTTATTTCAGAAACAAAATAGAAACAGAAAGAATAAAGGTCTTAATCTAAAGACTAAAGTAATTCACAAAGAGCAGGAAACTAAATTCCACACCTGATCTCTTTTGGCTTCTAGCTTTCTTTTCTTCAAGTAGATTTTATTTCTCCCTCATCCCTGATTCTAATTCTAATAGATTATTGCAATTTGTATCTATCTTTGCCATATTCCTTTATTTAATTCCTACCTCCATGTCTACATTTTAAAAAGTGGTTTCTGTATTCAAGAATACTTTATTACTTAGCTCTTGAGAGGGAAAGCTGGCTCTTAAATTTTCTTAAAATTTGCTTTGAATTTTACTCTGGGGACAGCGGTTGAAATCTTGCCCACGGTTATCATGTTAGTTACAAAGTAGGCATGGATTGATGTATGATAGGAGAAGAGTTTCTGATGTCAGGAATATTTCATTTTATTTTGGGAATTGGTGATGATTGAGGGTTTTTTTTTTTAATTCTGTCTTTATGAGTTCTCCATTAAAACACTATTTTTTATCTCTACCCAGAGCTGGAATTTTGTGTTGCTAAAACTATAGAGCCTAGTCCCACTTTTTTTCTCCTTTGTCAAGCATATTTTCTCATGTCTGAGTTTTCTCAGTTATTCTTAATCCTACTTACAATCTTTAGGTGGATTAAAAGTTGCATTTCCTTGTAGCATTTGTTGCAAACATCAAATGATTAAAAAACAAAGAGAATTTATTTTCCTACCATAAGCTTAATGACTCATATTCAAGGGCAGGATGGGGTTGTCTGGAGGAAAGAGGGAGGCAAAGAAAAGTAAAAAGTAAATAGCAGGCATGTTTCAGGAAAACTCCAGCCAGGGCTGTTGGACTGAACTGTGTCGATGCTGCTTTATGATACGTGTCAAAATAAATGCAGGACACAGTTTTTACCTCAAAGCTTGGAATGTTGTGGTTCACTGATATTTAGGTAAAGGAATGTTACAATTGGAATAGCTGGCCCAAAACTTTCCCAAAATCATCAATTTTATTTATTAAACTGGCTGAAAATGAGAAGAGTGACAAGGAAAGGCACAGATCATTTATTTATTTGACAAGTTTTTCAGAGTTCTTTTCCCTGATAAAGCAGCGATGGCAATGAATTTTATTATGTTTAGTGAAAGTGTTTGCTTGGTTTAAATTGTTTACATATTTACTGTTAGGGCAGTAATGAAAGCAGGTCAGTCCAAATAACTTTTTTGTCTTGTCTGTAAAACACTAGGCAAGTTGCATTTTTAATGGATGACGACCACAGTTGTTATTAGGATTCCTGAATGAAGTCATGAAGTCTGAAAAAATTTTGGAACCCAGAGTTTTAACTCATGTCACAATTAGAGTAACTGCTTTACAGAAAAGGGCCTAGTCTAATTTTGAGTCTGTGGCTTGATTCTCACAAGTCTGATGTTCATTTTCCAAGGATAATATTTATAAGCCCATAATTAAGGCAGTACTTTAGTTAGACATGAATTGTAAAGAAAGAAATTCAGGTTACTTTAGGTTTCCATTCTTCAAATCCAGTGTTCTGTGCTATACTTTTACAGTTAAGTGTGCTACAAAATAAAGTCTTTGGGACCCTCCGTTAAATAGGTTTAAACTTTTTTTGGAACAAGATTTCTAAGAGACTTAAATGTGCAAGTGAGCATTCTGACTAAGAAAGGACAAGGCACGTAGCCTTTCCAGACCATTAGCAAGCAGTATCTATTCTCATCTCTCAGGACGCTGTTTCTCAGAACACAGTTAAGGAGAATTTATATGTAAATGTATCACCATCAATAGGCAAGGCATAACTGTATATTTATATAGTATATATGTAAGTTTGTATAATATGTAATGTATATAACATATATGTATAGTATATGTGTAATATATATTAAAGTTACTTATGTAAACTTACTTATATATAAGTACACATATATATTATATATATTACATATATACATATAGTATATATTACATATTATATATAAACTTACATATATACTATATAAATATATACTTTATACAGTATTTACATGTGTTTATATGTAATATATACTATATAAACATACAGTATATTTATGCTGTATAAATATACAGTATATAAACATACTACATAAATATACAGTATATAAACATACTATATAAATATACAGTTATACCCTGCTTATTAATGCTGATACATTCTGAGAAATGTGTCATTAGGCAATTTTGCCATTGTGCTAACATCATAGAATGTACTTACACAAAATTAGATGGTATGGTCTGCTACACAGGTAGGCTATATGGTATAGCCTATTGCTCCTAGGCTACAAACCTGTACAACATGTTACTATACCAAATACTGAAGTTAATTATGACACAATGCTGAGTATTTATGCACCTAAACATAGCTAAACATAGAAAAGGTACAGTAAAAATTTTGTATTATAATCTTACAGGACCACTGTCATATCTTCATTTGATCAAAGTGTCATTAGGTGGACATGACTATATATAAATATATGATCAAATATATTTGTTATTTATATATTTTTATCAATATTTATATATTAATATAATACTAATATATATATAAGTTCTTTATTATCTTTCTGTCTCATTTAGTCTAAACCTAATATTGTATTCCCTCTGCAGAAACCTGCATCACAAAGGGCCAGCACAGCAAGGGGCACCAGGAATCCAGGGACCGTTATTTAATTGATGGCACTGGCAGATGATGGTCTCTCTTCCACGCATGAGACATGGTGCAGGTCTGCATGATGTCGTCTTCTTTTCCCTTGTGCATTCTCAGAACAGATAGCCCAGATGGCACTGTGATTCACTGTAAAGCAGGAAGGAGATAATGCAGCAGCATCTGCAGTGCTGCCAGGAGGAACACCTCTATAGCAATTGGGTGGATCTTGGCTACCTCTGGGCCAATTCTCCCTGTGTAGATCTTGATGAAGAAGAGAGTTCTGGGGGTAAGAGCAAAATTAATTTGTTTTTACTTTATCTGAGTTTAGAAGGTTTCTGGGCTCCTGTTAATGTACATCAAAGCAGTTCTAGAGTCATCTAAAACTTGCTCAACATTGCCAGTGTGCATGTGTAGAGGGATCTCTGTAACTCTGTTGGGTTCTGATTAAATGTATTATAAATAATATGCAGGAATCCTAGCATGGTTAAACATCTAAGTTGGAAACAAAAGAAATATTTTCACTTGGGACACTTAAATATATCTATTAGATTCTACTTAATTGTTAAATAAAGGGATGTCTTGGGATGGAAACGATAAAAGGCAAGATTGCTGAATTGGCTGTTGATGTTGACATTGGTTGTTTAAAAAGATTGTTTAGGATTGCAGTCCATTCAAAGCTAGATGGGCATCATAAATTCAGGGAAGACATTCTCATGAACCTTCTCTTAAGAACCCCACTACTCATCTTTTGACTAACATTCGGCACAGTATCAATTTCATGCATTGTTCTTAAATGATTCGTTGGGTAACTGCTGACCCCAGAACTAAGTGATAACACTGCCTTCCCTTAGGTCAGTTCTTTGCTCATGTATTCTTCACATTCTACAAAGGCTTACTTACCATGTATAAGGCGCTGTGCACAGCACCCAGGAAAACACAGAGGCACACAAGGTGCACTCTTTCTGCCATCCACTGTTGTGTACACAACTAAACAGACTAAAAAATATGTGTGGTAAATTTCATACAAAGTCATGCAAAGGAAGTAGTAACCGCTCTTTTGAATGTGATCATGAGTAGGCAGATTCCAGCCACTAAAGGCTCAGCATGGGCCACCTTGTAAGTATGCTGCATGAGGACTCACAGTGCGTAACAGCATAGCAACCTCATTTCTTTAAAAAAAAAAAACCATGAAACTCATATTACTGTACTCTTCCAGGACTTCATTTTGCAACTTTCATGCACTCTTGAAGCAAAGGCCATAACATCATAACTTTTGTTTTTTTCTAGTAGTTCACTTTCTGAGCATGTAATTGGGTACTTGGTGTATTATAGGCCATTACCAGACCTGGACATGATCATGGGTTTGGTCTCGTGCTCACTGTTTTAGAGGCAAGTCTAAGCTCTGCCTCCTCTCTTTTAGAAAAAAATTGTTCTGTGATTTATGATAATATTTTAATGAATGAAGTTTCTACCTTTTGTTACTATCATCTTCATTTTGAAAAAAAAATTATAGTCATTTACCATATTTCATCCATTTTAAGATAAATGCTTTTTCACATTTTAACATCTTTGAAATCAACTGTATTTTGTAATCAATGACATGTCATAGTTTAGTTGGCAGCAATCCTCCTCTCCCTTTCCAAAGTTTCCTTTGGCAGCACATGCCTCTACCTGTGAAGCATTGGAAACCCGCCCCTCCCCACCATGTTTCTGGTACATGACACATTAAAGGAATTCAGTGATGGATGACATTTGGGTCCTACAGTTGTGAGAAAACCAGGTCACTTTATTTGATATCTTGACATACTATTTTGTCTTCTCCTAATAGTGTAGATATGAGATAATATTGGCTCATGAAGTGATACTGTTTCATGATGAATTCATCTAACATTTAGTGAATGCTATAAAGCATATGTTCTTCCCCTATGCACTATGCACCATGACCACATTTGAAGAGTATAACAGGTGAAAAACACAGTCTTATATGATGACTAAGGGAGGTGCCATAATATAATATACAAATAAGTACTAAACGAGGTCAGACAAGATAAATCCCAAGTGGGAAGAGGTTACTTTGGGCTGGGAAGAGTTAATGGAAGATATGAGAGGCGAACTAGGCTTTGAAAGTTATAAAAATATGTATGAGTAAAAATGGAGGAAGGGTAAGTACGTTTTTAGTACTAATTTTTTTTAGCATCTATCTTCATTCGACACAGCTGTACATGAATGCAAAGTAGAAGTGTATTTTTAGATTCAGAACATGTATTTGAAAATACAGCATACATTTATGAGATTGGCTCTTTTACTAAGAACCAGTTAGAATGTCTGCTTTTCTGGGAATTCTGAACATTTCTTGCTAAATTGGGGTGCCAAAAGAAGACAGCAAAGCACTGACTCACATTTGAGATGGCACAGGAAGGATTGGCAGGGCAGATTTAATTCCAGGGAGGTTTCAAGGGGACTTGCTGTCTTAGACTTGAATGTGAATTGAGTATAAACCATGACTCAGAGAACACTCTTGAACTGGGTAACATGACTAAACAATTATCAACCAAAACAAGCTAGCATAGGTCTCATTTATTTATTTAGCAGGTATTTAGAGGTCTTCTAAATAATGAAGCCACAGTTTTTGGAAGGTAGCCTTAGATTCCCTTGTGGTTATGCCACTTATGCCTCTGATCACAGTGAGCCCTGCTCTTCCTGAGATAGGGCTTTGGGATGCTGTGTTATATACAGCACTTAGTTGGGGGCAAATTTCTGTTTTTAAATGGTAAATTTCTGGTCTAACTTCCTCTTTCTCTTCTCCTTCATTTCTTTTCTCACTTCTTCTGACATTTTAGGGCTTACACTGAGCATTCCAGAGCAGTTTATCAATAAAGGTTGATGTTATTTCTTTACCTTTTGTGGTGCACTTCTAAACTTTTAAATTGAGCAATGAAGACCTGCTCCACAATCGTGTACACTAGATTACATTGCTGTAAAAAAATTATTTCTGTTTTCAGTTCTGTTTGGTCTTAGTGACTGAAAGCCCTGTGCGAGTATATTTAAGAAGCTTTCTTCTATTTAACAGTTTAATCTAGGCTTAGGACATCAAGTCTCATTTTCCTTTACATTTTTCTCCATATGCCAGAGGAGCAATTCTTAACCCTGTTGACATTAGACATTTTTACAAAATACTGTTGCCTGGGCTCCACCCATAGAGATACTGATTTATTAGTCTGAACTAACGTTTAAAACAAGCTATTAAAAAAAAAAAAAAAACCTCCTCAGATGAATAGAGAGCCAGGCTTGAGAACCATTGTGTTGGTAGTCTGGTCAGAATTAGGGAAAATCCATGGAGTCTGGTCAGAGAATTAGGGAAGATCCAGAGAGCAAGGCTGATCCAGTCTAGAGAATCATAAGGCAGAATTTCTTTAGCATTTAGAACAAAGACTTCTGTGGATATGCAGAACATTCTTGGACCCCAATGCTAAAATTCCCTTAAAGATTTCAACATCTTTATCTGTTTTCTGTCCTTTAGGTTAAGAGTAAACCACTCACTCACCTCTGCAGCTAATATATAAAGTATCTTTGTGAAAGCTAAGGAAATCCACACCTTTCTTAATACATTATTATTATTTTCTAGGCAATTGTCAGAATAATATACAAATTTATAATGATAACATTGTAAAGGGCACTTTATGGACTTGTATAGTGCATAGACTGCACACACAGCCACACCCTATGGCCCATCATGTTCTTGTTTTTCCTGCTTAAACAAGTCATGATCTGAACTGGTGACCTGGAGACTATAGGCATCAGATGGCAATTACTGGCAGGCTGACCTAGGCATCGCAATTAAGATAAAAGGCAACTTCAAAGTCTGAGATGATGGGTTAGATGATCGCAAAAGGCTCTGTGCCTCATAGCTCTGCCACATTGCTTAATTTAGCCCAGGTTGTTTGTGAAATGGATTTAAAGTTGACCAAGTCAGTGTCTAAAAGCTGTGAGTGAAGAATGTATAAAACTTATGGCAAATATGGCTTTGCTTGACAATGTTGGATGACTTTATTTGGTTACACAGAGCTAAAGACTAAAAGAACCTGCCCATCCTCAGCAAAATTGCTGAGTAAGGGTGGGCTTATTTTGAGATTCCTCAGCATCTTCTCTCTCTCTTTTTTTTTTTGGTATGTTTCTTTTTAGGAGTAGACACCAAGAAAAGGCATGTGTTTTGTATCTCATTGCTTGGCCAGTGGGCTTCATAGATGATACTCATCTTCAATGTAGCTGCACTTAAGCAAGCTCTAGTGGTATAGCAGCACAGCCCATGAGAACTTCCTACAATGATGAAAATGTTGTATTATCTGTTGTTCTGTCATGGGCAGAATGCAAACCTTCCTCAAAGTCTGAGGAAGCTAAGAGGCTGAAGAAAGGCTGACAAATCAATTTTCTGAGAAAGAAACAATTAATAGAGACTTACAAACAGAAGCCATGTCTGTGTCTTGGGTGACAGTGGGATAAGATGATGGATCCCCATGCTATTTCTCCCCCAACCCAGGGCTTATATACGATAGGGAAAGGGTATACATAATGCAGAAGGGATGTGTAGAATAATTGATCTACAATAACATCAAGGTTATTTGACCTAAGAGCAGGATTTACAGTAAGTACTGGCTCTTACACAAGGAACAATTGGAACTCTTAGAGGCCTTCCTGGAACAGCAGTTAATCAGAAACCAACATGGCAGCTTAGCATCCAAGATGGAGTTGCTTTGGCCTCCACACCTGTGCTATCCAAACAAGTATACACTGGCTATATGTGGCTTTTCAGCACTTGATATGTTGCTGGTGGAACCAAAGGAAAAAAAAACCCTGAATTTTAAATTTTAAATACTTTTAGTTAATTTAAATTTAAATGGCTACATGTAGCTAGTGGCTACCGCATTGGACAATGCCAGCCTGAAAGATAGGTTTTATCCAGAGGGGAAGAAAACTAATGTTTGTTATGCACCTTCTAATTTTCAGGAACATTCTTATTATGATCACGTCTAATCCTTACAAAACCTTTTGAGGTAGATATTATCATTTCCACTTCATATAATGAAAGTAACTGGAGCTCAAAGAATCAATTACCCAAGGTCTTAGAACTAATAAATGATCAAATGAACGTTCAAACTTAGGTTGATTTGATTCTAAAGCCCACACTTGAAGTTTCCTTAGGGAAGTAATCTTCCTTGTGATGAATTACAAGCTAAATTTGTAGTAAAACAATAACAACTATCAAAACACTCCCACCAAAGATCACTG